TCTGTCATACAGATTAGGAGAGTCACCCCAGATTATACGGTTAGAGAGTGGTAGACCTGGGACTTCAGTAGAGCCTGAAAATCCAAACTCAAATATATGAATTTCTAGCCCTTTAAAAAATGTAGGTCAGGGCTGGAGGATTGCTCAGCAGTTACAAGCACTGACTGCTCTTGCAGAGGACCCGGGTTCGATTTCCAGCACCCACACGGCAGTTATGAACTGTCCTTAATTCCAGTTCCAGGGGAATCTCAAGCCCTCTTCTGACCTCTGAGGCATTGTATGACATAGGTGCACTCACATACATGCAGGCAATACACTCATACACATAAAGTAAAAATAATAGATAAAATATTTCAAAAAACCCTGACTTGATTGGCTCATGAAAAACAGCATCAGTTTCCTGTATACATAAGGCATTTAAAGTTTTAAGGATTTTTTTTTTTAATATAACAAGAAACAATGAAAGGGAACATCCAAACACTGTATTGTTTCTGTTAACATAAGCTGTGGAACTGAATCTCTGGCCGTGAACCCATGAGCATTGTTTCCTCAACATTCCAGACTGCGGGGCACTTCTGGATAGGACCGGGTTGGTTGGAGATGTTTTGAAACAGGAATCTGGTTGCAGGTTAGAAGCCTGTGGGTCAGGGCTCCATGCTGGCCAAATCAGAGAAGGCAATCAAGACAGAAAGAAAATGAATATGTTCATTTACTCAGAGACAAATGTGAGGAAGTTTTCAGAAATAATAATATATTCATTTTTTTTTCTAAACATACACAGTATATTTTATTGAAATTATTTATTAGCATTATTATGCAGTCAATTTTTGTATTCCTACTCTCCATCCGTTTGTTTACTTAATGATAGCAATGCAACTGGCATGAGATAGACTATCAATGTAGTTTTAACTTTCATTTCCCTGATGGGTAAGGATATTGAGCTTTTTTTTTCATATTTTATGGCCAATTATACCCCCCCACACACACATGCCCACACACAGCTGGTGACCACCTTTGTCTTCTAGCTAATCCCACTCAGGCTGTCATGTCTGCCTTTAATTCTTCAGAACAGTGGTTTCCTTTAGAACACCATGTTGGAATCTGAGTAATTCTTTAAAATTATGCATCTTGTAATCACATCCCTACTCACAAGAAATGAGTCAAGGGTAGGTTTTTTGTTTTGTTTTGTTTTTAACTAATAGTCAGGGTTTAAATGTGTAGCACTGTGGGCATGGAACTTACTTTGCAGACCAGGCTAACCTCAAATTTACAAAGATTTGACTGCCTCTATCTCTGAGGGCTGGAGCTAAGGCGTGGACAGCTGCTAATATACTTCCAACCCCCAGTAAAGAAAGCCAATGAGGATTTGATTGTGTGTTAAGAGATATGAGAGAAACCTTTTGATGGGAACCTGTTGGAAGAAGGAAGTAAATTTTCAGTTTCACTGCTGAAGAAAAGCTTGAAGATGAGGCATTTTACTGTTAGTGAGGACTTTTGTCAGCAGTCAATGAAATCTCCATTCCATCTCATTCTCCAGCTCTTGATGTTTCTCATCTGTGCACAAGAGTCAGGTAACCATTTTCTCTCAGAGATGTTTAGCTGAAGTCAATGGCAAATTGACAGGCCATTTACTTTTATGCAGATAGGTAAAGAAGGGCATATGCTTCCAAGATATGTATGACTTGCTCAAATTAGATGCTTTCTTGTATATCTGTTTCCCTTAAATATTAAGGTTACAGACTAGCTAGAAGCAAAGGGACTCTTCCTTATACTTACATACTTTACATACTTTACTTCTTTTGTCTCCATGATGCATATCCTGTCAGCAGTCAGGCAGCCTGAGGGCCTTTTCATTTAGAGATGGACTTGTTTTGAGGCTCTTCTTGTCATTCGGATATTTTTCAAATTACATTGGCAACTCTATAAATCATTTTCTTGGTGGTTTTGTCTGTCATTACAAGCTGGCATTCTTTAAGGATTCAATAAATACTGTCTTACTATCTTCTACTTAATCAGAATGATTGAATAAAAAGCATTTTACCTAAATCTGTTGGTTTTGTTCAGGTTAAGGCAATAGCCAGTGTTTCTTAAGAATTCAGGAAACAAAAATCATGGTAATCTCCAAAGAACGGCTGAGGCTTAGTCATAAAGCTTGTGCTTTACATGAGTGAGGTCCTGGGTTCAATCCCTAGCACCCAAATAAAAATAAAAAATAACTTTTTAAAATGCACGATGAGGAAGATTTCTGTCATGAAATAGCTCTGAATATAGATCCAATGATGAAGTGGGAGAAAGCAATACAGAAATTGTTTTGAAATACTGATGAGTCACTTGGCTGTTACCTTTTGTGTGTTGCTGGTTTGGGTTATCTTATTTACTAGTCGATCCTTTCCCAAGGGCAAGGAACAAATTACCTAAGGAAGCTAAAATGTCTGTGGTGATTTGTAACTGTCAGACCACCTACATGCTCTTATTTTATTCAACACTTTGTGAGTCAGGTGTCATGAAGCCCATGCTTGAGATGAAAAGCCCCAGGCTTAGGAAAGTAAAAGATTGCTAGACAATCTCAGTCCTAGAAATCAGCCTAGGTAAAGCTCCAACACAGAACTTTGATTGATAGATGAAATGTGTTTAAACAATAAACGTGTTACATATGTGTGAGAATTCCATAGTGCTGTATAGACAGTTTAGAACCAGTGTGCACATTTTGAACAATAGTTAAGAAATGCTTCTTGTAATTGGAGCATGAAAATTAAATGAACGAAAAACAGACAATATAAGGAGGATCAAGGTGCATGAAGTTGGGTTTCTAATGTTCAGATATACAGGAAAGTGATCATATCACATAGCCTTATTCAGTCTTTTGCTCTGTTTCTTAACTCCTCATAATTTGGGTTTATTTTATCTGTTCTTCGCATTTTTAAAATACATGTGATTATTAAGCATTTATTCACTTCTTTCTGGTCTTTTTGACTCAATAATATATTGGTGGGATTTATTCATATTGTTGAGAGGAGATGAAGCTCATTAAATCTCATTTGTGAATAATATTCTTTCGTGTAATATTATAATTTATTTATAGAACCTGTTATTTTTAATATAATAGCTTCATTAATTCTTTGAGAATTTCATACAATGTATTTTGATCATATTCATCCCCAGTCCTCCTCTAACTCCTCCCAGATCCAACCCCCCCCCACAAACTAAATGTCTTTCTTTTTTGTGATAACCTGTGGAGTCCAATTTTTCCTGCCCATAGAGTCATGGGTGTGGGGCCATCCACTGGAGCATGGTATAAAAATCTATTCTTGGTTTGTAGTTAGGTTTCTGACTATGACAAATAGTATTCTATGAACATTTTTGTTCATGTCTTTAGTGAACAAATACATGAATTTCTATATATTTAGAGTAGGTTTGCTGCTTGTAGGATAGGTGCCTATGATTAATTTTAAGATATTGCCAAAGGTTTCATAGACTATCCTAAAAAATTTACATTGCTTTTAATGGGCATTTGTTCTGCAACAAACTTGATATTGTCTGTCTTTCATTTTAGACATCTGGTATATGTGTAGTCCTCATTTTAACCTGTATTTCCTTGATAAGTAGACAACCTTAAATACATGAACTATCCAGTCAGGTGTGGAATAATGCATACATTAGCAAAAAAGTCTTTTGTTATATGTATATAAAATTTTCCTTATGTTGATTAATTTACATATTTAAGTTTTTACCCTCAATAAGTCTTAATTAGGTGATATACCAGAATCAATCTCTCTCTCTCTCCCTCTCCTCTCTCTCTCTCTCTCTCTCTCTCTCTCTCTCTCTCTCTCTCATTATGCTGAAGATCAAATCCAGGGTAGTGGATGTGCCTAGCAAACATTCTACCTACTGATGATACATAGGCTACATCTCTAAACTTTTTCCTTTTTTATTGAGACAGACTCAATAAAATGCATAAAATGTATACGGTCTTAATGAAAATGTATCGTAGGTTGGTCTTAAACTCACAATCCTTTTGAATCAGTCTGCAGTGTCTTACCACATCCTACTGCATAGCTCATTTTCTGTTGAGCATAAGAGGCAAATGAGTTCAAATGAAATGAACGTAAGATAGACAGATAACTGCTATTTGGACAAACTGGGGTAGTAAGGAAGTATACTTCTCTTAATACTGAACCTCATTTTCAGAGTCTTCACAGAGGATAAAGCATAACAATAATGAGACAGCTGTACTGGGAAGGAATGTAACTATCTTCTGCAATTTGACAACTCTGGAAGACGTTGTGCAAATTACCTGGCAGAAGATCCAAGGCTCTTTGCCACAAAATATTGGCACTTACAGCAGTAAATATGGGGAAAAAATTCTCCCACCCTTTGGAGACAGGCTGCACTGCAAGATTATCGAACCCAGTTCATCTTTCATAACTATCCAGGAAGTGACATTTGAAGATGAAGGCTGCTACAAGTGTCTATTTAACACATTTCCACATGGCAGCCATGGAGGACAAATCTGCCTGAATATTTTAAGTATCTAATCCTTTTCTCTAGGGTCTGATTATTGGGGGGCAGGGATTATGGGGTTATGGTTTTTAAGGTTATTGGCCAGAGAAAGGAAGTTAGTATTAGGGTTCCAAACAGCAGCAGCTTCTCCCCTCCCCAACAGGGACCTATGGACTTTTGGAGCCTGAAAAAGGGAACTGAGCTGATAAGCACCTTGGCCTTTGAAGTCAAGGGAAACAAACTCTGCTGAGAAGCAGCCTGACTTTCCTCTGATCTCCAAAGACAAGATAAGCAGATTCTACCTGTTAACCAGAGATTTTAGAAACTGCTTAACACATCAGCTTTTCCCTTTTCTTAAGAGGAAAAAGTAAACACTTCCAGACCCAGATCCTGCCTGGTAGACTGAACGGAGCCAGGTTTACAAGCCCTGCTTTTCCTGCTTCCCCCTGGTTGATTTTTCCCCAAGACATCCCCCCCACTTCTGCACCCTGAAGCCCCCATATATAAGTCCCAGCTCACAACCTGTGGGCTGACATCTTTCCCTTCCCTGAGGGAAACGTGTCCTGTGCGAAATAAAGCTGTATCCCGCTGAGAGTTCTATCTGTGCCTCAGTGCCTCCTCCATTCGCTCGCTCTCCACCCCCCAAGCTTTTACCTATCAAATGGTGCCAAAACCCAGCTCTTAGTTCAAGGGACCTCGCACGTAAAACTTTCGGACTCACTTGTTGTTATTGGCCACTGTGAACACCACTGATTTGGCATTAAGGAAGCACCCTCTATCTCTCTCCCCACTCCCGTTCCTTTCTGCTCTCTCTCCCTCTCTCTGTCTTCCCTTTCCCCTTCACTACTCTCTGGCTAGCCTCCATTTTTCTTTTCATCTCCTTTCCAATCAAATTCGGTCACTCCTGGACTTCAATCAAGGCCACTGGACAGCACTGGTTTCCACGACCATTGAATTGCCCGGCACGGTTACTGTGCCTGTCCATGCCCACCCGGGAGTCAAACCTGCCTCCCCATTGCACTCAAATCCTTTTCCCTACCTCAGCTCCCTTCCCTTCCTCACTCCTGCCATCTTTTGCCTTCCCCTAACATCTCATCTCTCTCTCTCTCTCTCTCTCTCCCTCCCTCTCTCTCTCCCCTCTCCCTCCATTTACTGGCTACTCTGAGTTTCATTTAGGACTCTCCATTCTTCTTCATTCCCAGTCCATCTTGGCCTTCTGGCCCACTACCTCATTTCCTTGTACTTTGGCTCCTACTGGCTGGTCGCGCACCACATTGCAGAACCTCTCCTAACTCATTTTACTCCCTCGAAAGCACACTGGTGTGTGGGAGGTTCTGCCCTGCCTTTGATAACAGGACGCTGTGGTCACTGGTGGAGACACGCACAACATATGTTTGTATTTCCCCTCCCCAGCAATTGCAGGACGTTGCCCTGGGGTTTGGGAATTTAACTTGAATCCGCAACAAAAAAAAGGATGCTTTTCTTTTGTTGCCTGATTCTTCTCGTTCTCATTTTTACATGACCTAAGCCAAACTTTCTCTTCCTGCTTTCTCTCTCTCACTCCCCCCCCCTCTCTCTCTCTCCCTCTTCCCTGTACACTACTCCTTCCTGCTCTGACTCCTGACTCCGCCTCTGTCCCCTCAGGGCAAAAGATCCTCTTGGTTCCCCTACTGGCTGCTGAGGTCTTTAACTCCTCTTTTCTTTCCATGTAATCCATTGCTTTGGGAACCAAGCACTCAAAATCTCAAGGTCTCATGCCTTTGGCTTGCCTTCTTAGATCCTTAAAGAAGCTAGGACTATCTGGCACAATCAAGTCAAAACGCCTAAAATTCTTGTGCACCACTTCCTGGCCTCAGTACAAACTAGATAATAACTCTGTTTGGCCAAACACTGGAACCTTAAACCTCAATATTTTAAAAGATTTGGAAAACTTCTGCCAGTGTAATGGCAAGCGGTCTGAACTACCCTACATCCACACCTTTCTTGACCTCTGTGCTAATCCCTCCCTCTGTGTCAAGTGTTCTTCCCACCAGGTCCTCCTGGATAAGACAGTCTCACCAGATCCTAATCTTCCAAGGGCCTCTACCCCTCTCCCTCCTCCCTACCCCTCTGACTCTGCTTTTGATCCTTCCATAGCTGATAACCTGCCCCCTATGAGAACCCAGCTCCAAGAACCCCTGCTCCCAAGCCCGAGGCACAACCAAA